GGCATCCAGCCCCAAAATGGTCATCATTGATTCCACCTCTCTCACAAATGACACCTGTCAAATCTTTTTTTAGGAAACTCTGAATCTTAAAACTGATGAAGGCATTTTACAGCCTTTTTCATTATTTGCAATAAAAATAAAGCAGAATTATAAATGGCTCTATAAAAACAAGAAATAGAATTTTATATGATTGTGATTACTACTGTGTTTATGTGCACTAAATATACTATAAACGTATATTGTATATTGTACACAGATAATTTATGGTACTTCTCATAATTTCTGCCATGAGGAGAAAAGTGCCGATATTTAAAGCTTTTGTAGCTGAGTGTTGGTTTTTGAAATCCTTACTTGTCACAAGTGTAGAAACTTATCCAGTTCTACCTATAATAGTAATTAAACAGGTTGTACCTGAAAAACAATTCAGGAGTTTGATTCTTAAAGCAAGAGAAAGGTAGCTATGAAATTCAGTCATGAAAATTATTTAAAGATGCCCAAGTTGTTATTGAATTTTCACAGTTTGTAGTATGCAGAAGCTCATTTTAGAATATTTCCTTATTCCAATTATGTCTGGTTTAAAATCATTTAAATTACTAATACTTTTGTTAAGTTGACTCTTTTCAGGAATATCTTTATATGGCAGGCATTTAATTTTTTAATTTTCTTTGTTCTTTCATGATTCTTCAATATATAATAATCAGAATAGTAGAAAAATAATAGATTATTTCAAAAACTAACCTTTATAAAATTGAAAAGTTCTATGTTCTTAAAAAAAGAACAAAAGCTTAGTTATTAAATTATGTTTTACAGCTACTTCACTTTAAAAAGAGCCTGTCTGATTGGGGACAGGGAGGCTATTTCTTTCATTATTTAGAAAAGACAACTTGAGAAAAGGGTAGGAAATTTTTAGTGGAAAGTGTTTCTTTCTCTGTTTTAAGGGAGTAGACAATATATAAGTACAAAAAAAAGGCAAACACTGCTAAGGGGGTAACTGTGAAGTACGTGTCTTTCAAAGTATAATTTTTTTATTCAAAACAATAAAACTCTACTTAGTTTATATACATCCAATTTACTAAAGTAACTTGATTTACTTTCTAAATATGTTGGAGACNCCTATGGAGGTAACCAGTTAGCTCAGTTGGTTAGAGCATGGTGCTGATAACACCAAGGTCACCAGTTCGATCCCCACATGGGCCACTGTGAGTTGTGCCCTCCCTAAAAGGGTCACCTATGCCATTGTAGCATGAAAGCAAGGTGTAACCAATGACCGTGGCTGCTCCCCAATAAAAAAAATTTTTTTTAAAAACGAAAAAAACAAAAAGAAATACCTATGTACATGCCTGCGTTTGTTTCTAATACATTCTTCCAACACATCTTTATGTTTCTCAGTTCCTCTAAATGGCTTTTTTATTTTATCTTCAGCTGAAGTTTTACTGTTCGTTCTATTAATGGTCTTGTCTTTAATAGATTTCTCTCTAGGATAATATTAACTTTTAGAAACCACAGGATGGAACAATTTTTATATACGTACTTTTGATGTCTTTTGTTAAGTTTTTTAGTAGATCTTCCCAATGAAAATGTAAAGTCTTATTTATGAAATGCACCTTGGTTTTAATTAGATGCCTCTCTTTCTGTTGAAAATAGAGTATGCGTCTCTGGGGTCACTGTACGATTACATTAACAGTAACAGAAGTGAAGAGATGGACATGGATCACATTATGACCTGGGCCACTGATGTAGCCAAAGGTAGTAACGCTTCATGTCTTCTTGAAGAATTGGTGGGGAGCATTTTCCCAGCCTGACTGGGTGATTTAAGTCAAAAGAGTTTTGATTCTGTGTCTTTAGGTGTTGTTTTCTCATACCAAAAGTAGCAAGAATTCTGCAACTTACTGTATAGACAGTGTTTTAGGTCAATGCCTTTTCATTCCTGAGCTCTTTTTCTCTTTCCTTCCTTTACTTTCTCTAAAAAACAAATTCCAACAAAATCAGTGGCTCCAAGGCAGCCATTTTTGCCACATTTTGTGCCATTGTAATTCACCTGTTTGCTTGACACATTAAGTGGAAAGATCATAATTCTGTTGTTCTGCAAGTCTCTACTTAGACTCAGTATCCAAAAAAAAAGTGATTTATTGTAGAATTAATTCTACTCATTTTGTATACATAATAATATGCTAAAAGTAGTAACAACTTGCAAAAAAAAATTTTATTTATCCCCCCACATACAAGCAGTTCAGATTTTATTTTATATTTAATGTAAACTTGGAAATCACCGTTGGAAATCAAGTATTTTTAATACAAAAAAATCCTTAAACAAGGTGCTCAGTTCTTATTCCCTCATAAATCCCTACATAGACTAATGCTTTCTAAAGCAATTTAAATTCCATTTATTTTTATCTCTTTTTTCCATTTTCCTAACTGAACATTTCTGAGTTTTATTTATAACTGTCAAAGTTGCTTTGGAAACAATGTAATCTAAATAATGAACATGGATAGTTACATTTGTATTCTAGCAACCGGTTGAAAGCAAGTGTGTTCAAATTTTACTGGGGCAATTAACTCCTTTGCATTTTGTTACCCCAGACTCTACAAGCATCTTTCAAAAGCAAATAAAAGGATATTTAACACTCAATAAGGAGCGCATCTCCTACTTTGCTTTCACTGGGAAGCCACACAGTGACTTCCGAAAGTGATCATCTTTCCTTTGGGGAATTATCTTGTCTGTTTTACATCTCATCATCATCTGCCAAATTCTTCAAAGAGGGAAAGTGAAAAAAGTTTTTTAAAGGTTCATGCTAAATGCTGCTGTTGAATGATACTTCATTACCTTACTTTGTCAGAATAATAAACTCAGAGCATTTGAGATTTTGCTCCCCAGCATTGTTGTCAGCTTGGCTCAAATAAACTCCTATAAAAATTCAAAAAAAAAAAAAAGAATACTAAGCTCTATCCTTATGATGGTGTACTTAAGGCTTGGCTGTGTTAACTTAATTGTGTATTCATGCATCTGGCATCTCAGTCGGCCTTAAAATTTCACATTCTTCAAGACATTTTCATGTGATATCATAGTCACCTCCCTGCATGTCAGCAGTACACAGGGACCGCCTGTTTGTAAGCAGGGTGATGTGCTATTATTGGAACTGCCTGAAGCATTGTAGGAATACACTTACATAAATGTAAATACAGGTACTACGAGGTGTGATAAAAAAATATGGTGAATGCTTAAATAAAAATTTGTTACAGTAAAAGACATGTTGCCATTAATCCCCCTCTCAAAACTCCCTCTCACTTCAAACACACTTATCCCATTGTTCTTGCCACTTTCTGAAGCAGTTCTGGAAGTCCTCTTTCACGTCTTTACTTCATCCTCCATCATGACAACACTCTGTGTCACATATCGCTTCTGGTATGGCAATTTCTGTCAAATAAAAACATGATGGTGTGTCCTCATTCACCTTATTCACCGGATCTGGCACTGTGTGACGTCTGGCTCTTCCCCAAAGTCAAAATGACCATGAAAGGAAGACATTTTGAATTGATTCAGAACGTTGAGGCAGCCATGACAGCGCAACTAAAGACACTCACGAAAGAGGACTTCTAGACCTGCTTCAGAAAGTGGCAGAACAATGGGATACGTGTGTTCAAAGCAAGGGGGAGTATTTTGAGGATTAATGGCAATGTGTCTTTTACTGTAATAAATTTTTTTTATTTAAACATTCACCGTATTTTTCTATCACACCTCATACAAGCAGTCCTTGACTTAAAGCCCGTCACCTTACAGACATTTACACTTAACGTGCTCTGCAGTCACACCTATTTATTACTTAATGGCACTTAGGATGGGTGGACAGCAAACCAGTCACCTGACATCAGATACTCTGGTTCCTGCTGTGCACACTCTACTTAAGCTTCCCTGGCCCCCAGCCTGTACACCTTGCCCCCCCTGCTTCCTTCTGCTACATAATCCCTGTCGGAAGGATGAGTCCCTTAGCTCCAAATCAGCTCTGTCATTCCTGGGATTTCTTAAGACTGCTGGCACTCTGCCTCAGGAAGGCAAAGAAGAGAAGAAACAGGACTAAGTAGCAACTGGAACCAGAGGTAAAAAATAGGGATGGAGAGAATGGGAGTGGACCACGGGATGGTGTCTAGAACCACAAAGTAACAAGTTCACATGCCTGTGGCTAGTGAATTGAACTGACTGGCAGGTTCTAATGTGTTTGGCCTCAGGTGAACGGAGTGAGGCGGAGAAGAGACTTGTTTGTTTGTAGTTACCAGTAATAC